GTTAACCCTTCTCCATTTCTGCCGACACTACCAGTCGTAGAGATCTAAAATTCGACTGGGTGATCATTCACTGAACCCAAAAAGATTAGTTTTAATTTCAATAAAATACCTGGTTTACTTGTTAACGTAAATAGAATGTAACCAATCGATTTTTTTCCCTTGTTAGCAACTGATGATTTTTACAATGATCTTTGTACCAAAGCAAATACATACGCTGTCAAAGTTCCGGAGTTAAATCAAGAATTGCATCTTGGAAAAATATAACTGTTAACGAATTAAAGAAGTTTTTCAGTTTACTTTTTCATATGGGAACAATTCGAGTAAATCGACTTATTGGAAGAAACACTATCTCTTTAATTTGACTGTATATTTAAGCTTTATGAGCCGAAACAGATTTCTTCTCATTTAAGAGCTTTGCAATTCGAAAATCGTCAAAATAAGTAACTGAGGCAGAATGAATGCAGTTTATTGCCCCAATAAAAAACTTTCATTACAAATTTATTTACAAAAGTTTAAAAATTACAAAAGTTTCGGCAATACATCAAGGGGAAACGACACAAGTTTGGTGTAAAACTATACTCACTATGTGAGCCAAATGGACTGGTATTAAAACTTGTCTACTCAGGTTCAGCTGATGTACAGTAAAGAGGTTCACAACATACTAAAAAGGTGGATATATGTTTGTTAGAAAAAAAAACTTGGTGCTGGTTATGCGATCAACATGGACAACTTCTATAATAGTGTCAATCTCACTGAGACTTTATTGAATGACCAAACATATGCTACGGGCACACTAACGGTTAATCGAAGAGGAAATCCGCCTTAAGTTTTAGCAAAAAAATTTGAAAAAAATTAAAGTGGTAAACCAGTATAATTCTCGAGGCACATGTCTCACAAAGTGGAAGGGCTGTATTGAGGTGTCAGCCATATCCAGTGAATTTCATGGAGAATTGCAAGAAACTACGAATAAACGAGGTCTGGTGAAGCAGAAACCACAACTCATGAATAATTATAACGATTTTATGTCGGGAGTAGACCATACTAATCATATGATATCTTACTACAGTTGCGAGTAAAAAAATATTATTTTGTATAAGAAAGTTGTTATCCATATGTATCAAATCATGCTTTTGAATTCATGGATTCTATATAACGGCAACAGTTCAAACAAATTAAATTGTTGCTTGTCAAATTTAAGGTGATACTTGACAAATTTGTCCACTTGCGTAGAAAACTAAGTGAGAACGCATTCGGAGGAAAAGAGATACATAATGCGCTCGGTCCCTTCGCCTCATTGGTACACTCCATACTACAAGTTTACAGAGAGTGACCTTATTTATTAATGGAACTTCTATGATATGTCTATATTGTATGTTATTTTGACGTTTCAATTTTTCCTTCGGAAATTTTTCTTAAAATACAAAATATTTTGTTTTTGATACTTGGTAAAAAAAATTCTTCTAACAATTATATTTTATTTAACTCATTATTATTGATCATTCAGTCATGTTGAAGCGGCAGTTTTTTCGAACACTTCTATAAATGTCTAGTTCTGTAATTTTATAAGAGGAATATTGGCAGAGATGAAAGCTTTACATTTGCGTTACAGTAAACTGTATAAGAATAAAAGAACAGTAGTTAATCTTATACCTGGAACATATCGACGAAATATTTATTACTTAATTTTTATACTAGAGTTGTCGTAATATTTTATATTATAGTCATATACTTTTTTTATTCGGATCTTCGGCATTTTAGTATTTTAGTAAGTCATAAATATTTTAATCTGTTATTTATTTGTTTACAATATAATAATACTAGCCCCGTTGGGATGGCTGTCAACATCCGGTATTTAGGTAATAAACTGTATAACTTTATAACTTTCCCGAATATTTTATTTTTGTAAGGAGATTTTGGAGAAATATATCGTATAAAATATATCTCAAATAGTGACTGAGTTGTCAATATGAATAAGTCAGATAAAATAAAATTATTAGGAGAATTTTTTACCAAGTAACAAAAACAAAATTTGTTTAATTTATCGGTATTTCGTATTTGAGTTAACGATTTCCAAAGTGTAACTCACTTCAAACTTCAAAATAAACTTATTTTAAACTAAAATTGTGGTTTATTCCCAATAAAAATAGTAAATTACATTATTATGCCACAAGAAAATAGCCTAAGAATAATTTTTATTTTAAATAAAAACACACACACACACACACACACACAAGCGTACAACCCAGCTCCTACAGAGATATGTGTGTTCCAATGGAATAGTGGGACCCACGTGTCTGAAGATCAAACCCGTCACACTCCCTTCGAGTGGTACCTATCTGACCCACAAGCTATCCTTCCACCCCTCCCTCTCGCAGCACATAACGAAGGAGGAGACTGTACTCAGTTTTTACTTTGGAGGCCCTGTTTAATAGAGCATCTTCCGTATGTGGTTAAGCCACCTAATTTTAGCTAGAAGAGCTTTTCTCCCTTTGGATGACTAAAAACTGAATGACTACTTGGGACTCATGTCCCCTAAATGTGTTGTCCAGACAGTGGGCCATCGGCCTGGGTCGATGTCTCTCTGTCCAAACTGTGTGTTCGGTCACTTAGTCGTCGAATTGGCAAAATGAATTTTGTTCTCCTCAGCGACTGGGTGTCCATCCGCCCACGTCTGTCGGTACGTGACCTCAATGCTCAGTTTACGCGTCCTTCAGAAAGGTGTTTCGGTGCCGCGGGCGCTCAAACTCACTGATTAGTCTGATGTCTAATACTACTTTTAGATACAAATTACTTGACTAAACAAGACACTTGAGATAATTTAATTTATAACTCACCACAAAAGACACGATTAAAATTAAAGTTCGTCTTCTGTCTCCGAACTTTCTAGAGAATCCACACTATCAGTGTCACTATCTTCCTGCAAATGTATAATTAAATCCTCGACAATTAAGTCTAGAGCTGGTTCCTTTTCCATATAATAACGCTCAGAAGAAATAGCATGCTCGCAATATTTTTTCCACTCATCTTGGGAAAATTTGCAGAAAAACTCATCACAATATGTTTCAAGGGAGGTAGTCTTAAGACAGGTGACTTGCATTGTTCATAATTTGATCTATTTCATAAGTTTTATTTCTGGGTTTGTGAATTTTTATTAGATTATATAATTCTGCTTTTATCATGTCGTCTGAAAAGGAAATGTTCTCTTGTCTTAACCATTCCTTCATTTCGTCTTTTCTACACCCCATAGTGGGACATTTTTGCACTTGGACATTGTGGTATGATGCATTGTCTATAACCAATACAGTACGGGCTGGTATATTAGGAAAAAGTTTTTCATGAATCCATTTTTTATAATTATTATAGTTCATTTCGCTATGATAATCTCCAGACTTCGTACCAGATTTAAATGTCAAACATGCATTTTTTATGAACCCCATTTGGCCGCCGGCGTGAACAATAATCAGCCTTTGCCCTTGTGTACACTGGCTTGTGTAAACCTTCGGTGGTATTGTGTCCCCAGTATCTGTGATGGGTATGAGAGGAATGAATATAAGTTTCATCCATGTAAATTATGGGCCGATTTTCTTCCCTATATTATTTAATATTTCTGAGAAACTTCCTCCGGAGCACTTGTATATCGGGTTTTTCCATTAGGATTTTCCTGTTATTCTTCGCTTTCTTCCATCGAAATCCCATATCTCTCATCACTTTTCTCAAAGTTTCATGCGACACTGTATAAATATTGTCTTCATTATTTTTTTTTTGTTATAAGTCGCAATGTAGGAACTCGTTTTTCCGTGACATAATAATTTATTATTATACGCCGAAGTAACCCTTTGTCAAAATCGCCCAAGTTGGATTTTGGGACAGATCTCATTCTTTTGTTAGGCGTCGAAAATTATGTAGAAGCACCTTCTTCTATATTTTTCATTTCACGAGAGATCCGTTTTATACTGGCTATACTTACTCCCGTTACTACGGAAGCACGCTCTTGAACTTTTTTAAAATCTTTAACATGCGGATTTTGTATCGCTTCTCTCTGCATAAAAATAATTACATTTGCTATTACCTCCCTCGTTTGTCCAGACAAGACTTTGCTTTCTAATTTTGAATGACAATCCATGTTTATAATTTAAAATACTTAACAATAATTATTTAAAAAGTCAAATCTATTGTAATACGATATTTCTTTAACATACAGTAACTTTAAACATAAGTAAAATAAAAAAAAACTTTGTCGCAGACTATACAAGTACCTTGCACTTCGAAGGGCCAAGAAATAATGACGAATTGTGTTGTGGTCGAATGCGCATCGTGGGTGGAGCCTAATTTCAAATCGGCCAAGTAACACGTTAAATTTGACAAGCTGTACTATGATTTTCGGCTTGCGGTCATTGAAAAATTACTTAGGCCACCATCCAGAACCCATCCCAAGATTTAAAGTATACCACCTGCTAGAATATTGCCCCATAGGTGAAAATGGAAAGGCGAAAAGAAGACGATGTTAGGTATGTTGGACTAATGGTAAAGTCAGTAAGGATTCCGATTACTATGGCTCCCAATGTCCTGAAGGTCCTGGACTGTGTCTCCATGTTTCCGTATATTTCATGGGAACCTATAGTAGTATCTGGCAGCTACTTTCAGTTATTATATTTTCTATGTACTTTATTATATTTTATTATATTTTCTATGTATTTCAACAAAATATTGACAGCTGCAATAAAAAAATATAACTAGCTCACGGGTAGAACTCTAACGTCCAAGTTGGCAATGAATGTGTAAATTGGTAAAAATATGACAAGTATTTTTTAGCGATTTTCCTCCATTTTTAAACATTTCCACTGTTAGTCCATCACTAAGTTTATGTTTTTCACTTTCCGTTCAGTCGTTTTTGTATGTCTTTTTTTGGATGTAGTAGGTTTGAATTAATTTTCAGCTTGCACTACAGTTCATATAAAATAAAAAATGAGAACAAAAATTATTTAAAAAATAGTTCTTACCTGAAATGCATGTTCTGCTGCTAAAAGATAATATTTGGCCTGGAAGTTAATCTCAATTGCTTTTAGTACCTGACCCTCCTCCATAAAACCAGTTGTATGTTTAACTAGCAATTCAGAAATTTGTGAAGTAAACTTGTAAGTTCTAGCTAGATCCATAGCAGCATCCCATCTGTGGTGCCTCATACACATATTAATGGCTCGCTTTACTTTTCCTACTTTAAGATATGCTTTTACAGCCACAGTGTGAACTGCCTTAGAAGCGAATAGATCGCCTAATTTTCCTAAAAGACGGTGACCTTTTGGTAAAGTATCTACTATATTTTCTAAGCTCTTCCAGTCTTCCAAATGGTAATAGCATTCGATTGTCTTCGCAGTATTGTTGGCTAGTTCGTAATACTCAATCGCTGAAGCCCTAGAATTTATTCATTCCTTCAGTCGTTTTAATGGATTATTTTTAATATAAACATTCCAAAGTATCATAACAAATACATAGCAAACAAATTAAGATATAAATACCACTTGCTGAAAGAAGATTGAAGAGGGTATGGCCAGAAGACCTACCGCAATAATACTTAGAGAATTTATTATTATATAATTACTCTGTGTATAGAGTAGATTGTAAACATGCAATGTAACAATAAAAAAAATTAGATACATATCTATAAGTAAGGTCTACAAATTAAAACTATATTATACTCAAATTATAACAATGTTTTCTTACCAATTATTAAAATGAGCAAAATAATCCGCTGTACAGTTGTAGGCAGTTTGTAGCAAGGAATCTGGAGCTGAGACGCCATTCTTTATAATCTGTATTACTCGGAACCAATCTCCCAATGTTTGACGCAGTTTAAGAGCTAAATCGCTACAAAACGAATAAAAACAATTATTATGAATAAAGAATAAACTTATACATAAAAAGAACATAAGCAAATCAATAGAATCGAAATAAAACCCCTTTAGAAAAATAAATTTGAAACCTGATCAGAATAGATACCACAAAGATCAGATATAAAGACTAAAAAAATTAAAAAAAAAATGAAGAATAACAAATGAACATTTAGACTAAAAAATACATTCAATACATACCTTCTATCAGCTTCCATGTATATTTTTTCAGCTTCGTCGAAGTTTTTAAAATATGTTGCTATTCTAGCTCTCTTTATCGGTTCGTAATCGATTTCAACCAGTTTTTTTACAAATAACACTTTGGAGTAATCTTTGGACCTCACAAAACATGATTCTGCCATAGGCAAATTCATATCCTTTAGTGCCGCTTCGGCTACAAGTGTCCTAAAAGGGTATTATAAAAAAATACGAAATGGACTATGTAGATCATCTAATATATATACAGGGTGAGTCACGCTCAACGGGACGGAGCCTACCGGGGAAATGGCTAAAGATATTAAAAATTCCTTTTGTACGAATACGTAGGTCAGTACCGGCTACAAATTAAAATTTGTGAGATATATACAGGGTGTCCCAATGTGGCGTAATGATATAAACTTATACTTTTTTAAATGGAATAACCTATATTTCACTTTAATTTTGAATTCTACTGAACAAAATAATGTTACTTTATTCAACATTCCCTATACCTATTTTTGACCGGTTTCGATTTATTTGGGTTTTTCTGAAAATGTACTATTCGCGAAATTAATTAATTACACAATATCGCATAAATTATAATTAACGCCTTTTTGTCAATTAATTTTTAAGTATCCATGCTTTACATCAGAATAATTACCAATTGAAATTAATCTACAGAGTGTTCGCAATACGAAGTGTCAATGCTGTATAATACTGCCGTGTTAACTCAAAAGGGCGTATCTGCTTTAAACTAGTTTACGAGAAAAATCAGTTTTAGTGGTTTTGATTAGGCAATCGTGATTTTTTAAAAAGTTGTGACTTGTACCATATAGAAGTTAACAAATAGGTCTATACTATCATGTGACAAATTTTGGTAGAGTATTAACTTGGGAAAACAACACTTTTGACAGATTTTGACAGATACGCCTTTTTCACTTAACATGAGGTATGTATATAATTAAGAACGTAACTACATGATTTTTTGAAAATATTTATTGCATTAAACAAATGAACGTTACAATATTAATGTATTAATTTCGTAAGTTATTCTTAATAATTAGGAAAAGTTAAAAAAGTAAACAACAATAATACAGACTAACTAAAATATCATACTCAGTCAAACAAATATTAATTATTAATACTTAATTTTCTACTCCGAACTAGTTATTATATTATATTAATCATCAATTGTGTCCACATTTTCGCTGACAAAAATATTTTTCCAAAATGCAATGCGATTTGGGGGCATTATTTGACCAATTTTAGTGATTATATTCTGTTTTCTTTCCATGGTAATACCTCGTGGTTGAGAGATAGAGAGTGGTTTTGCAATGCCATTTTTTTGGATATTAGCATTTAAAAAAATTGGCACTTATGATTTCTCCTTCAAAACTAGTTTTATAACCAAATGTATGGAAACCTCTGATGAACTGAACTTCCACCATTTGTTGAAGGTACGGACGAGGGACCAACCTTGTTATTTTATATTGAGATGATTCGTCTTTCCAGTTGTAAAAATCATTAAAAGCCATGTCGATAACTTCGACATTACGTGTTGACGTTTAAACCGCATCTACAAAATCAACGAAGTCATAAACTTTACCTTTTCGATTTAATGATTGCTCGACTCTATGGTGAAATGAGTCAGCTGCCATAAATGTATGACCTGACTCAAAATATCTTAGGGTTATTTTCCTAATGTTCAATTCTAATGAGCTTACAGCATACACAAAAAATGTGTACAAGCACCAATTTTTGTTCTGACCGGAACAATTATCCAGCCAAATAACAACTTGTTCGGAATCCCTAATTTTGTTTAAAAATGCATAAAATGTGCTAACAATATCAGCCTTTTTTCTTCAAGAAATAGCTTCATGCCATAGAACAGCAACTGTAGAAGTTTTAGAAGTACCAACTGGAACAAAGCTCTCATTAAAGGCTATCAGTCTAGGAGTAAATATAATTTCTTTGAAAGTATCGCATCTTGGGAGCATAATCACCTACAAAAAATTGTGTAAGGTCAAATATAACAGATATTATTCAAAATAAAATTCATACCTTCTGCAGATCAGCTGTATAAACTCTAGAATCGCCCGACGATCTGGAATCAGCGTAGTACATCTCTCGGGCCTTTATAAATTTTTCTCGATGATTTTTATGTTTCGCATTCAGGACAAACTAGACCGTCATCTAACACGTGTGAGCTTTCTTTTTTATGAATCTCGTATTTTTCACAAGTAAAACACTCTTCGTTTCCAAGCTTTGCAAATGAAATATTAAGCTCACTAACGATTTGACGATATAAATAATACGAACATTGAATATTGTACTTTGCTTTAAATGATTCATACATTAGTTTTATAGTTATGTCGCTGGGCAAGTATAAACGGTTCGGAGCATGTGCTCGTCTATAATGCGATGTCGTAGGATTAAAGGACTGTATATGACTAATGATTAAATCTCTGTCAAATTTTTTTAAGCTGCCTCCTCGTTTATCTGTGTTAGGTTTAAGCGATAATTGGGAACTCTTTAAAGCTGTTCTAACTGGCTTATCATTTTTTTCATGATGTCCTAAAGTTGTCAGATAAAATACTTTACAAATATTTTGAGGTATTCCTTCTTGAACTTGAATAAAAAGCTTTCTGTTCCTCGGAGGAAAGATTCCAAAACTGCCTATTTATATCTTGCCGTCGAAGAGTTGAAACTTTATTACTGCAATTTTTCTTGCAAGTAGCCAAACAGCTTCCATATATTTTGTGTTTATTGACTAACTTTTGCATTTTTATTGAACGTCGTTCACTTAAACTTTCTTCTATTTTTTTCCGTTTTCTTAACTGTCCCTTTTTAGTGTATTTTTTGCTCTCTGATTTGTCTATTGCGCTTTGTATAATACTGTGAATTAAATTATTAAAATAGTTATAATTATTGGTAGTACGATGTTCTTCCGTATCTGTCAATAAGTTGTTTAAATTTAATTCCGAAATAGCTGATGAGCTCGTTGTTGAAGCAGGTTGTAATAGGATATTGCTAATAATATGTATATTTTGGTCGCTAACGTTATTATCTGTGTCCCAAAATTCTTTACTTGAGGAAGATGTTGAAGGAAGGTAGTCTCTATCTCTGTCATCAGACACGTCAGATTCAACATCTGACTGAGCTATATTCGACAGCTCGTTATTTGTTTCTGCGGAATTTAAAGCCAGGTCCACCAACATTTTACCTCGTCCTCTAAATTCTACTGAAACAAATTTTTTCATCAAGTAATTTGACAAAGCAATAATTATTTTTATAGTTTTTAATAGAACATACATAATATAAATACCTATTTGGTGTGAAAACCAAAGTGACATAACCTTATTTTCGAGATAATCAATTTACAATAACTTCAGAACCAAAAATATATACTTTGACACATAGGTACAAGGTAACAATTTGTATTTGTTTAACTTTTTATATAAATTAGTAGAAAATATACTTACTAGTTGTTTCTGCAAAATTATTATCCATATTTATTATGAACAACAAACTAAACACATTCTATGAAAACACGAAAAAGTAAGGTTAGAAATAAAGTAAATTGACAGTTTACTACTTTTCGTACCAACATAATAATATCTTGAAATGTTAAGTGAATAGGCCGTATCTGCCGAAAACTTTTTGGTTACGGCTTTTTGTGTTAACATTTACAGTTGCGGCTTTTAAAGCTAACATTTTAGTAGAAAATTCAGATACGGCTATTAATTTAAGCAGTATATATCCGCTTTTATTGCAGATATGGCTACGAAACTCAGGTAGATTTGTAGAAAAGATTACTAACTAACGCGTGGGACATCAAACTCGTTTTTAATAAAAATTGCAGTTACGCCCTTTTGAGTTAACACGGCAGAATAGTTTGTGTAATTACTTTCTTAACTTAAATGGGACACCCCGTATTTTACTTTAATTTTGAATTCTAATCAAAAAAATAATATTACTTTATTAAACAATCCCTATACCTATCCTTTATAATTTTCGATTAATTTGGGTTTTTTTGAAAATGCACTATTCTTGAAATTAATTAATTACACTTTATTACATAAAGTTAAACAAAACACACTAGAAAAAAATTAATTTACATTAAATGTTCAAAATGGTGTCCATTTTCTTCAATACATAACCTCACTCTGTGTTCAAAATTTTGTTTTACTCTTCTTAGCATTTCTGGAGTAACTGTTGCAAACGCATTACGAATACGCGTTTTCATGTCTTCAGCGGTTGTAGGTGGAGTTTGATAAACCAAACTTTTAATATATTCCCCAAAAAAAAAGTCCATTGATGTTAACCCAGGTGATCTAGGGGGCCAATTGACAGCACCACCCCTACCTATCCACTTTCCGGGAAATTTTCTGTCTAAATATTCTCTAACGTTACGCGTGTAATGTGCTGGAGCACCGTCTAGCTGCAGAAACATTGTTCTTCTAATATTTAAAGGGATATTTTGCAAAAGTATCTAAAAGTCTCTCCGTAAAAATCTTAAAAACTTTTGTCCATTTAAATGGCCATTAAAAAAATACGGTCCTATCACATGTTCTCCTATTATTCCACCATATACATTAAGGGACCATCGGTTTTGTCGATCAGTACATCTATATTCATGTTGATTTTCCGTATTATAATAGTGAAAGTTATGTCGGTTCACGAGTCCATTATTATGGAAAGTAGATTCATCAGTGAACAAAATTTTATCAAAAAAATGTTGATCTGCTCCCGTTTTGTCCAGAAACCATAAATAAAATTCTAACCTACGTTCAAAATCAGTTCCATACAAATGCTGATGCATTTGAATATGGTATGGGTGATATTGGTATTTTTTAAGAATTCTGCATATACTAGTTTGGCTTACTTCAATCTCCCTGGCCATCGTCCTTGTACTTGTATTTGGATTTTCACTGATTGAATAACTTCTAATTCGGTATTTTCATCTTCAGTTATCGGATTTATTAATTTTCGTTTAGTATAAACAACACTGCCAGTTTCACGAAACCTTGTTAAGACTCTGTCAAATACTTCTTTACGAGGATGACGTTTTAAGGGAAATCTCTCAGCATAGACTCTTGATGCTAACAAACTGTTTTGATCACATTCACCCAGTATTAAAATCATATTTACTCGGTCTTCAATTGAATAATCTGCCATTTCTATTTAATTGAAAGCAATACAGTTAATAGTTTGACAATTAGTTTGACAGCTAGGTACCTTTTGTTTTTTCATGGCATTCTTTATAATAACGAGCTATGTAATTAATGACATTTAATGTTCCATGTAACATAATGCAAATAGATCTGAAGATACTAGATATTAATATAAAATTTTATAATAGTTTGATTATAATAATTGTTACAACATTCAAATACAGGGTTTTTGTTTAAGTTAGAGTAGAACTTTATGTAATAAAGTGATAAAAATTAATTAATTTCAAGAATACATAGTGCATTTTCAAAAAAACGCAAATAAATCGAAAATTCTCAAAGATAGGTATAGGGATTATTTAATAAAGTAATATTATTTTTTTAATTAGAATTCAAAATTAAAGTAAAATACAGGGTGTCCCATTTAAGTTAAGAAAGTAATTATACAAAATATGGTACAGCATTGACCCTTCAGATTGCGAACACTCTGTAGATTAGTTTTAAATGGTAATTATTCTGATGTAAAGCATGGACACTTGACAATTAACTGACAAAAAGGCGTTAATTAAAATTCATGCGATATTGTGTAATTAATTAATTTCGCGAATAGTACATTTTCAGAAAAACCCAAATAAATCGAAACCGGTCAAAAATAGGTATAGGGAATGTTGAATAAAGTAACATTATTTTGTTCAGTAGAATTCAAAATTAAAGTGAAATATATGTTGTTCCATTTAAAAAAGTATAAGTTTATATCATTACGCCAAATTGGGACACCCTGTATATATATCTCACAAATTTTAATTTGTAGCCGGTACTAACCTACGTATTCCTGCAAAAGAAATTTTTAATATCTTTAGCCGTTTCCCCGGTAGGCTCCGTCCCGTTGAGCGTGACTTACCCTGTATATATATATATATATATATATATATATATATATATATATATATATATATATATATATATATATAGGGTGAGTTTTAGTGCGACATCGGTCCATAATTCCATTATGGTATAAGATATTCAACCAACTTATTTAGAAAAAATGTAGGCAATGATATACTTGGAAAATATGTGGAATTCTACAGGGTAATTAATAACTACGTGGTATAGCAAACATACAATTTTTTAAATGGAACTCCCTAATATATATTTTTTTCAAATTTGTATTCTTCTCACAATTCTTGTTCTTATAGTACTGAGTTTTGCATTACTATATAGAGTATTTAACAAGTTATGACCATTTTTATTTCGAAATCGATATCGAAATCGATTTCGAAAAATTTTCAAATTTTATATTTGGGTTTTATATTTTCAATTGTCTAATTGATTGTCTGGTGTCTGATGTCTTCATTAATCTAAATGCAACACAGAATTAAGATACGAAGCACGAAGAACCCTGAGAGATTAATTTATAAAATTTATTATTTTTTGATAAGTAAAATGAAAATTTCAGTAAAGTAAAATATAAATTACCATAATCTAGGATGACTATTTTCTTCTACAAATTGACAGGCTTCATTTATACCAACTTTTTCTAATAGCTGCCTGGTATCTCTTAAACTTTTAACTTCCAGCTTGATGATATGGTCGTTCTCAGGCTTTTCTGGATTCTGTATCACCTCATCGAGCAGAACTGCTTGTATTTCCAGATCCTACAAAAAATATTTATTTATTAAACCTAACACCATGTGAAATACACATGGTATTAGGTAATAATAATACATTCCATTTGAGATGAGGAAAAAAGTTAATCAAACACATGTACTTATGCATATACTCGCAACAGAATTCGAAATTGCAGACATTAACTAATCGTAAGAGATCATATGAACATCTCCTATGTCAATACCAATAATCACAGTAATGAGTACCATACAACTGTAAAAATTTAAAAGTTAAACATAGTTGACTATATTTAACTTTTTGAACTTAGGTCTTTGTAGGCAAATTAAAGATCATAAACAAGAATCCACATTTGTTTTAACGATATAAATCGCTGTTGGGCGTGAAAAACTGTGGGACAAGTCAATATTTGGTGAAAATGGGATTAAGCCAAGTATGAGGTAAAAAAGTACGTTTTAATTGTGGTAAAAAGGGGATAAGTCAATGTAGCTGTACTTGTGTGTTAGGTTGATTGTTCCAAAAGAGGATCAAATAATACATACCGTTAACTACAAAAAGGAGTTTGAATAACCCCTTTTGTACTGCATATATCAGTATTTTATCAGTGAATAATGAGACAACTTGACTTGCTCCCTTATTCACGGTTAGCTTTGAATGTAGTGAGCAACAAACTTAATACACCTTACGTATGAATTAGTATCATCATCATTTTGGCTTTACAACCCTGTGTGGGGGTCCTAGTCTCCCCAAGAATTTTTCCTTCTTCTTCGAGTGCCGTCTCCCTACGGAGGTTGGCAATCATAATGGCTATTTTTATTTTAGAACTTGCTGCTCTAAACAAATCAATCGATCTGCATTGGTACCAATCACGTAGATTCTTTAACCATGAGTTCTGCCTTCGGCCAACAGATCTTCTTCCTTGAATCTTTCCCTGTATTATCAGTCTCAAAATTTCATATTTTGGTCCCCTCATCACGTGGCCTAGGTATTCCAGTTTTCTGGTTTGTATAGTGGTGATTAGTTCTGTTTCTTTACCAACCCTCTCCAGTACTTCTTTATTTGTAATTCTATCAGTCCATGATATTTTCAATACTCTGCGGTATAACCAGAGTTCGAAGGCCTCGATTCTTTTTAAATTACATTTTTTTAATGTCCAAGTCTCAGCTCGATATAATAATATTGAAAATATATAACAGCGAATGGTACGTAGTCTGATCTCCAAATTTAGATTTTTGCACGTTAGGAGTGGCTTCATTCGTATAAATGCTGATCTGGCAATCTCTATTCGCCTGTTTATTTCTACAGTATGATCATTGGTTTCATTGATCAAAGTTCCCAAATACTGATATTTTTTTACTTGTTCTATCACGTTACCATTTATTGTCAATCGGTGATGTATATTTTGTGGCCTTTTTGTAATCAGCATGTACTTCGTTTTTTTAGCGTTTATAGTAATTCCCATCTCAGCACTATTTATACTCAAGCTTTCGATAAGATGTTGTAGATCCTCTATACTCGTTGCTATGATCACAGTGTCGTCTGCATATCTTAAATTATTAATTAATTTTCCGTTAACGGTGACTCCCGCTTCGATATTATTGAGCGTGTTTTGGAAAATTTCTTCAGAATATAAGTTAAACAAAAGTGGTGATAACACACATCCCTGTCTAACTCCTCTACAGATCCTCATTTCTTCTGAGTGTTTCCCATCAATTTGAACTATGGCACTTTGGTTTCAACATAATGTTTGCACTATATTTATGATTTTACTGTCAATGTGCTTGTTCATAAGTATTGATATTAGTTTTTCATGTCTTACTTTATCGAAAGCTTTTTCGTAGTCAACGAAGCACAAGTGTAGATCAACATTTACATCCCGACATCGCTGAATTAATATGTTGATGGCAAATAGTCCTTCTCGAGTACCCATTCCATTTTGGAACCCGAACTGCGTCTCGCTAATATCCTCCTCTAGCCTTTCGTATATTCTCTTATGTATTATTTTTAGCAGAACTTTTAAAGTACGACTCATGAGGCTCAGTGTTCGATAATCAGAGCACTCTTTTGCTGCTTGTTTTTTAGGGATGGTTATAAATGCTGACTTTAGCCACTCCTGTGGTATTATTCCCGTATCGTACACCGTGTTGAATAAATCTGCCAATACTTCCAAGTTGTCCTCTTCCACTAGTTTTAACAGTTCTACTGGTATTTCATCTAATCCAGCTGCCTTATTGTCTTTAGAGTTTTTGATAGCATATTTGATTTCATCTATCGTGATCTTCTGTATGTCTAAAGGATTTAATTCTTGTATTTTCTGCATTTCACCTCTTTCATCTTGGAAAAGTTCTCTAACGTACTCCTCCCATCGCCTTAACTTCTCTGGTAAATCTACTAGTAGTACTCCTTTTTTGTCTTTTATGTGTCCTTGCTATCTATTTCGACCCATTCCAGTCACTTCTCTAATTTTTATGTGCATATTTGTCATATCATATTTTGTTTCTAGTTCTTCTATCTCTTTACATTGCTTCATCAAATAGATTTCCTTAGCTGTTTTGATTTTTTCCTTAATTATTCGTTGTATTTCTTTATACTTCTGTAGATCTTTTCCTTTATATTTCCTTCTTTCTTCCATCAGTAATAGTATTTCTTCTGTCATCCAGTGTTTTTTAGCCTCTGATTTATGTTCTATTAAACTTTCTTGAGCTGGTTTTAGTAATGTGTTTTTTATATTACACCACTTTTTATTTACCATTTATCCATAATTTGTTTGTTGTCAGTTAGTGTTTTTTGCATATTAACATTCACAATATTTTTTATTTCGTTTTTTATTTCTTCGTTTTGTAGCATTCTTACGTTAATTTTTGGTTGTTGTTTTCTGAGTTCAATTCTTTTTAATTTTATTTTCACGTCAGCCACTAGCGGATTGTGGTCTGAGTTAACATCTGCTCAAGGATAAGTTTTAACTGAGGTTATAGAGTTTTTATATCTGCTATTTACGAGTATAAAGTCTATCTGGTTTCTGACAATGTGGTTTTCTGTATGTGAAGGAGACGTCCATGTATATAGTCTTCTTTTAGGAAGCTGAAACCAAGTATTGGCAATTACCATATTCTTTTCTTGGCAGAATTCTATGAGCCTTTCTCCTCTCTCGTTTCTAGTTCCTAGTCCGAACTGTCCAACTATAGTTTCAACTGTACCTACTCCAATTTTTGCATTAAAATCTCCTAAAATGTAAGTAATATCTCTAGATTTTGTTAACTTGATTGTATTGTGCAATTCTAAATAAAAGTTTTCGATCTCAGAAGAAGTTTTCCAGTCGTCCCTATCCATCGCTTTCCTCCGCCAAATACGTATTTCCATATTTCTCATATCTTGGTCTATGTTATCTATGAATTAGTATATTCTTCTTCTTAATGTGCCTATCCGTTACGAATGTTAGCGATCATCATCGCAATCTTTATCTTATCTGCAGGAGCGCGGAAAAGCTGCGCAGATGTTGTATTGAACCAGATTCTGAGGTTCTTTAACCAAGATATTCTTCTTCTTCCTGGACCTCGTTTTCCAAATGTTTTTCCTTGCAGGATGGCTTAAAGGAGAGCATATCTGGATTCTTTCGCATAATATGTCCGAAGAACTATAACTTTCGAGATTTGATGGTGATCAGTACCTCTCGGTTCTTATTCATTCTTCAGAGGACCTCCTCATTTGTGACTCGGTCAGTCTACGGGATCTTAAGCATTCTCCGATATAGCCACATCTCAAATGCTTCCAGTTTTCTGCACATATCTTCGTTCAAGGTCCACGATTCAACACCATAAAAAAGGACAGAGAAGACGTAGCATCGCAGCATTCTTACATTTGTACCAAGAGAGAGGTTGTGATTCTTGAAGAAGGCCCCCATCCGATTGAAGGTGGATTTAGCTTTTCCAATGCGTGCTCTAATCTTCTAGTTGTTGGTTCATTCTTCATTTATTATGGAGCCGAGGTAGTTGTAGTGCGTCACTCTTTCTACAGGAGATTGGTTGAAGTAGAATCGACCTTCTGTTAAGCATTTCTTGCTAATTGTTGTCTTCTTAACGTTTATATTGAGTGCATATTGTTGACTGTAATACGTGATTTTGTTCATAAGAACTTGTAGTTCTTTTAAGTTGTCCGCAAATACTATGGTGTCATCTGCATATCTGATGTCAGCCGGTAACCATTTAGTAGAATACCTTTTTCAGTTTCGTGCAAAGCTTCGATAAATATTCTTTCAGAGTACACATTGAAGATTAGAGGAGACAAAATACTGCCTTGCCTCACTCCACGCATAATTTTCACATAGTCAGTGTGTTCACCTTCAACCATGGTTCTTTCATGGTACTTCACCTATGGTTCCATGATTTTGTGTTAATTGTCTCTAGATGTTCTTCTTCCTAAGAGAGTTTATGAAGTTTAAAATTCCAAGAGGAAACTAAGTTCCTGTAGCTGGCTGTATACCATATATGACAAAAAAATTTTGTTTAAAATCCTTTATAAAAGGTATATAAAAATACTATTTTATTTAGTATTTAAATTCTCATCCTTCTCTTATCACCTACTAACCATCCTTAGCCCCCGCAAACTTTGTTAAATATATCCAACTCCCCTTCTTTCCTCACTTCTGACCTAATACCCAATATTCTCCATGCTCCTTCTCAACAAAATAAATTCAGAGCAGATCATGCCACTTCCTCTCCAAAAACAATTTTTCATTAATATACACCATCACCCACTTAACCACATATCTTCACCTCTTCGTACTGCGTTTTTCATTTTCATTTACAACTTCTTTTTACTCATCCAATTTCCCTCAGGGTTTGGTTTTCGGGTCTCTGGGGTCTTCAGTCTTTTGTAGTTTTCCCCTTCATCTTCACAATAACATTTAAACATCACACATCTTTAGTAAACTTGATAGATCCACCTTAAACACAACTGCTCTTACATTTCCACATATTGTCACAATACACTCCATAAGCCTATTAACTTTTCACCTACCTACACTCTAACTTATAACTTATCCCCTTTTTACTTTTATATTTCTTAGGCACCAAATGTTCCTTTTAACATATAGGGCCTTTTGTTTTCTTGAGTTATAACTTGAGCAATGTAGGAACAATATCACACCTAACCATCTTTCAGCCATCAATTTTCTGTCAGTCTGGCATACTTGCCCACACACATAAACAACCTACCATCTTTACTTTACACACATAACCAGTAATTCATGTTCACGTACTTATAACTTAAAAATTTTTTATTTATCTTTACTAGGTACCAAATGTAGTTTTTTTTGACATAGGGGGCCTTCCAACTTAAGTTTTAAGTTGAGTACTACACGAACACCACATTATGATCACCTTCTTATCATATTTACATTTCAGCTCAACAACATATCTAAACACACCTCCACCTACTACATCAATACTCAATAATAAATCTTTTAGGACCCATCTTCCCACATGTGCCTTTTTACCATTTTCTAGGTACCAAATGTCTCACAACATACAGGGCCTTTTGATAAAATCTTTAGCTTAAAATAAATAGATCCTTACACATGTATAGTTGGTTGCATATCAATCCTACAAAATGTCATAAATTCCAGTTGACCCACATTAATTTTTTAAAAAACCAATTTTCAATGTTTCAAATATAGCTATTTGATTAATTTACAATACAGATTACAATATTGATGGTTGATACTGTTACATTATTATAATTTTAACTTTTTCAATTTTAAATAAGGCTGACATCTGTCATTTTTAGACAACTACCGTAAGTTACACTGACTGCTCTGACACAACATCCGTCCTAACATGTCAACAATGTCATTTTGATCAGTTGTTATCAACAGGTCCTCGTAGACACTTCGTCTCAGGACCATTTTACTCATGTAGAGTCATACGCCGCCATGTTACCTATCCAACGGTAACTTAAACATCACAAATTATAAATACTAATAATGTAAAACAACTACAAATTTATAACATGTAAAGGGTTTTTACCCATATATTTTGGTGGCTACTAGCATGTACAACCGTAAGTATTAACCACATTTTGCTCTAACCTTTGTCAACATTTTAATTTAACGTTCTTTTTAATTAAAGTGGTTATATACTTTCAGGTTTGCACTGATGATGGATTGTTTAATCCGAAAACGTTTTGCAATGTGTTTGTGATAGCCCGTTTGGGGCATTTTTATATACCTTTTATAAAGGATTTTAAACAAATTTTTTTTTATGAAGTTTGTTTAACAGGATGTGATCTATCCTCAAGAAAACACTGAATCCCTTTTACAAAAAATATTTATACTACCCAATATCACTAGATCTTCTAGTATTTCGTAAATACATGAAATTAATTGAATTATTGGTATTTTAAATTGTTTTATGCACTTACATTAAAACTGCAAATATATCCAGAACAAGTTACTGGTTCCTCGGGGTACATTCCTCTAAAGATGTACATCCTAGTTTTCTCCATAATAGCTAGAAGTTGCGGATTATCCGAAGCCCAGCACATTGCCCAAACATCTTTACGTTCTAATTTATTCTCGGAGGCTGATATCCCAGCACGTCCAACACCTTCGGATATATCAAGGACTGTCATCAATCCTGATATGTCGATTATAGAGAGACGCCTAAAAATTTACAAAAAATTCAAGTAAAGTAAAGAATATATACAGATTTGGAAATTTTTTAACGGAACATAGAATTTTTAATACAATAACTGAGATTCACTAATTTGCAATTAGCCGGTGTAAATTTCAATACAACGTCGCGATGTTTTATAATTTTAATTCATTTGTTCGGCTGGACTTCCTCTCCAGTCGACATCCTACTACCGCACTTAAGCCAACGCAAACGATTATCGTATGGTAAATCTAGCCGCCAGTGTAAAAACGGAACACAGGTAGAGTGTATGCCAATTCGCCAAAAACGTACATTTTTACGTAGATATGGAATTAAAAATATTATTTAACTAAAAAAAATGTTATATTTTAATGCCAAATTGGCTTGAAAACAAAAGTAGATTTCTAACAATAAGAAGGAATTACAAAAATAACATATTTAAAACAAAAATTTAACGTAATAAGAGGTTCAAATATTCTACCTCTTTCTGCAGAGCAAAAAGGGAATCTGTTGTACAGAGATACTCTCATATCCCTGAGCAGTTCCGTTCTACTGCTCCCACAAAGACGCATTATTTTCTCCCTCAATTCCGCTAAATTTCGAGTTGTTTTAAAACCATGTCGATAAACACTTGCTTTCAAGTATCCTCAAAAGAAAAAAAATCATTTGGTAATTAGTCTGGTAATCTGGGAGGCCACTTGATCGTACCATAAGAAGAAATTAATTTATTTCCAAAAATAATTTCTAAATAATTTTGCTAAACTGCTCATGTAGTGTGAACAGGACAGCCGTTTTGCTGAAACCAAATAGCGTCAAAGTTGGCAGGAAGTAATTGAACTGCCGGAATAATTTGATTGTGCAACAATTCGACCAATATCGTACGATGGAAGGATTATGTTTCCGATGTAATGATAATGTCGATTCATCGGTAAACAAAACGTTTTTTAAAAAATATTCATTTTCATTTTGTTTATTCGTCATGAGGTCACAAAAACCCATGCGTTTAAAATTGTCTTCGGCTAATAACTCCGAGTTATTGAGTAGGTGGCACTTTAAAACAACGGTAACCGTTTCGTTTCAAAATATTCCTGACAGTCAATATTCATGTCAACTTCTTCAGCAAAGGTTTTGCTTGAACAAGGATCCACTAGTTTCAGCAAAACTACAAACATAAATTTTTGTATTTTGCCGAACTTCGTAGACTGTTTTCTCTGGTTGACTGGTTCAAAATACCATTTTAAAATTTGTACGTTTTCTTAGTTTGTATACATGGTTAGAAACACTACTTTAATTTCAGCTTATGGCATTATAATGAGAAGCAAAGGTATTTGATTTGCTCGACCAGTGATGTTCTTAAGGACTGTTACCAAATCGGTAGATTTCGATATATAATATACACCCTTTTAAATTATAAATAATATTTGAAATAATAAATGTATTAAAATATAAATTAACTAATTCAAATTATACCTAATAAACACAAACAAATTTTTTGATAATAAAACATTATTATCTGTACAAAAATACAGAATTACGAATATTATAAACAGAGTTTCAGGAAAAATCGGTAGACGAAACAACACTGTGGGCACGCGCGTGTCAAATACGCTGCTATGAATCGCAAAAGAGCAGCAATCCAGTGGAACAAACATATTAATTATAAAGCATCGCGACGTTGTATTGAAATTTACACTGGATAATTGCAAATCAAGGAATCTCGGTGTATTAAAAATGTTCCGTTAACAAATTTCCAAATGTGTATACATTGTGTCTCATCCTATACGCCTCGTTTTTTATACGGAAAACGATTTAGTATACAGTTTTTTGTTACTATAAATATACAGGACCATTAACACTACAGTTTAAAAATAATTTAAATTAGAGACGGTACTCCAAAAAAGACGTATATAAAAGTTATTTTTTCTTATGGAACATCCTATATTTGATGACATTTTTGAATTGTTCTTAAAAATAAGCTATACTTTTATAAGAATTATTGTACCTAAATACAGGGTGTTTTCATTTTTTTTTTCGATTTTCATAAAAATGCAAGATTTTAGAAAAAATTAAATATCTACGAATCTAAGAATAGAAGACAAATTTTTTTTGGGCTTGAATAATATACTATTTGGTATATTTAAACAGGTGTTTATTTTAAGAAAAAATTTTACAGGGTGGTCAAACTATTGGCAAACTCTATTACCAGCAACAACAGTATAAGGGTGGCACAGCTAGCAATGGTAAATAAACTCAGAGTAGTTGTTTCCCCCACAAAAATATTCATAAAGGAACCTAGATAGAGGCACAAATTGCGATTCGGGTTATTTCTTGGTCAATTTTTAGGCGCCAGTACGTAATACAATAAAGCTAATATTAAATGAAAGAGGAGAAGAAAATAACATCGAAGACGAATGGAATATCATAAAAATTACCAATACAGCAAGGAAAACCTTAGTCGCATCCTCAAGCAAAAGAAACGAGGCATAGTTTGACCCACAACTAGGCAGAAATGTCCACAAAAGAACTCCCGATTGAATAGAAGGATATATATGAAGAACTAAGAAGGGTTGCAAGGAGAATATGTAGAAAGAAAAAGAGAGAAATTAATTTAAAAAATACAACAAATTACAGACTATAATAATAGAAGATAAACTAGGAAATTTTACAAGGAAACCAAGCGATACAGTCAAGGATACATGACAAGAACAACAGTGTACAATAACAAAAACGGGGCAATTATCAGCGAGAAAGAGGAACTAATCAAAAGGTGGAGGGAGCATTTTCAATACCTCTTAAACCCAGAAGAAGAAATAATTATCACACAGCAGAACAACTAGTTGATGAACCAACATTGAAATAAACTATATACGTCAGAAAACATCTGAAAAATAATAAAGCAGCTGGCACAGACGGAATAACTGCAGAACTGATAAAAAATTAGGCCAGTGGATGTGAAACGTGGACCCTTTCAACTACTGATGAAAATCAATTGAGAATATTTAAGCGCAAAATATTGAGAAAGATATTTGGAACAACCCACTAAAGCGATGGCTCGTGGAGAATAAAAATGAACTATGAGCTAGATGAATTAATGCAGAGCGCAGATATCGTGAGATTTGTAAAGTCACAGAGACTAAACTGGTTTGGCCACGTAGAAAGAATGCCAAATAATCGTGCTGTAAAAGTATTCCAGAGATGGAAACCCCAAGCAAATAGGACAGGAGGAAAAGTATTTTGAGGGTATGAGGATTTACCAATTTTTTTAAGTTTCAGCTTGTTTTGCCCTTGGAAGAAACCCCGTTTTTTGTCCCTTCGACAAAAAGGCACACAGATTCACATAAAAAAGTGATGTTTTTAAATTTATTTAATAACCTTTGGGTTTGGGGTAGAAAATACTGATATGGAATAAAAGAGAATTGAAATATCTTCCAGAAGACGGTATAGAATATATGGTCTATCTATACAGCCCTTAACATCCATCCTTGGATATAGGCCTCCTCCTCCTTCTTCCATGCCTCTCTATCTTGGGCAATTTGCATCTATTTTGACCCGGCGTGTTTCTTCAGGTCATCTGACCATCGCATTTGTGGCCTTCCCCTTTTACGTTTGTGATTCCATGGTCTCCAATGTATAATTGTTTTAGTCCATCTTTCAGCTTTCTGCCTTAGGGTGTGTCCGGCGAACTTCCATTTAAGCTTTGCTACTTGGGTTGAGACATCTTTCACTTTTGTTTTATTACGGATCCATTCGTTTCTTTTTTTGTCTGATAGTTTAATGTTCAGCATTTGTCTTTCCATGGATCTTTCTGTCTTTGCTATTTTTTCCATATTTTCCTTTGTAAACGTCCATGTCTGAGAGCCATATGTGAGGACAGGGAGTATACATTGATTGAAGACTCTCGTTTTTAAGTATTGGGGGTATTTTGAATTCTTTAGAATGTAAGACAGTTTTCCGAATGATGCCCAGGCCAATCTTATTCTTCTCTTTATTTCTTCGGTCTGATTTTCTTTATTTAATTTAGTGATTTGGCCTAGATATATATACTCTTTTACTTGTTCTATTTTTGTTTGTGCCACTGTAATTATAAGTTCTTCTGGTTGATTAGTCATGGTTTTTGTTTTACTATAATTCATCTTGAGTCCAATTTTTGTCGATTCTCTATCTAGTTCTTCCATCATTCTTTGTAATTCTTTACTTTTTTCTGTTATTAATACAATATCATCAGCATATCGTAAATGATTTAGATTTTGCCCGTTTATATTAATTCCCAAGTCATCCCAGTGTAGTCGTTTAAAAACATCTTCTAGCGCTTGGTTAAATAACTTGGGCGGGATGGTATCTCCTTGTCTTACTCCTCGGTTTATTTTAATAGGCTCCGTTTGTTTTATTAGCTTAATAGTTGTTGTTGCCTTGTTGTATATATTTGTAATTAAGTCGGTATATCGGTAGTCTATTCTGCTGTTTTGTAGGGAATTCTGTACTGCCCAGTGTTCCACACTATCAAATGCCTTCTCAAAGTCAATAAATGCCATGTATAGCGGGATATGATATTCGTTAGTTTTTTCGATTAAAATCTTTATCGTTGAAAGGTGGTCACTTGTACTGAAGCTCTTTCTAAATCCGGCTTGTTCTCTTGCCTGGTATCCATCTAATTTAGTTGTTAATCTATTTGTTAATATTTTGGTTAATAGTTTGTACATCACATTTAATAAAGTTATGGGTCTGTAATTCTTAGATCCTTTTTATCTCCTTTCTTAAATAGTAACAGTGTTATTGCTTCGTTCCAACTGTTGGGTATTTGTTTTGTCATTAAAATTTTATTCATAAGTATGTACTACAGAATAGATGGAGAAGAACACAGAATTGGAAAGTATGGATATGGCGAAAGAAATAATAGAGGACACACATTAATGAACTACTTGGAGGAGAGACAACTTTTTGCTATGAACTCATTTTTTTTTTAACAAAAAACCACAAAGAAAATGGACATGGATAAGTCCCAACGGTA